GGGTAATTTCCTCTGTGTTTGACTTTTGAAAAGGAGTTTATTTAGCTTCAAAGACCCCTGTTGCCTCAGTCAACACCACAGATATTTTTCTAAGGATGAACTCAAAATCCCTTGGCAATCAATTAGTCAAATCAACAAATATCTATTGAACTCAGGGACAGCTCTCTTCTTGTGGCTTCCTTAGACATTCTGTGTATATTGGAGAGAGCTTTTCCTGAATTCTCCATAAAAGCATTTTTATATGACTTAGAAACACAGAAATGATACATTGGACAGAGAATCTGTTTAACCATTTCTACTATAGGAAATCAAGATATTTCTTAATGATCACAAAAATAGACAGCACTGGTTGGCACTTTGCTGTGAGAAAAGAACCTCTCCTGGCACCACAGAGCTTTTTGACTATGCAACTGAGAGGTTTTTGCCAGCATCAATGGCTACCTTTTCTCGTTCTCTCTTGGCTTCTGCTTTTATCACATGATATTCTTTGAATATTTGAACTATACCATTATGATATCAGAGACCATGACTGAAGAAAGATATTATGTATCCTTTGGGTCTAACTGTAGAGAACTATAGAGGTGGGAGAAACTTTCTCAGAAGAAATTGAGACCCAGAAAGAGGAGGTGACTTCCTCAAAAGTACACAGCTGATTATACCAGCTGAACTGGAGTTAAAATCTAATCTTTGGGCCCATCTTATACTCTTGGGTATGGAGAGTCACATTATCAGAGCAAAACAAAAATAGCCTTGGTAGAATATTTTCTTAAAAGTAAAAAATGACTTTTATGCTTATTAAATTGATTCATGTTTATTGTAGGAAAACTACAAAAAAGTATAAGAAAAAAGATAAAATAATCAAGATTTTTACCAAGTTAATCATTATTAAATTTCCTTCAAGTCTGAAGGAAACACACACACACAGACACATAAATGGTATACCAGTTAGAGTTCTGGACAAGAAGCAGACGGAACACCCAGCTTGGCTTTTGAAGATAATTAAATGAGGGGACTATTTTTATAGATTTAAAGGAGCTACCAAGGGGTACAGGAATACCTAGAGACTAGCAACATTGAACAGGGGGAAGAAAAGTGTTATAGGCTCTGGGTGAGATGTGGAGTCATGGTGGTAGAACTGGCCCTCTGAAGCTGTAATAATAGAGAGCGTGGGCAAAAAGGTAACCAGCCCTGCCCTCCTTCAACATCAGAATTTGTGCTGCAGTTAATTCCCTAGCTCTCTTTCCCTGGTGAGCTCATAGAAGTTGGAGTGCCAACTATGTTAGGAGGCAACTTTGCTTATGCTAAAAATGATTTGACCTGATGGGAAAGCCAGATTTTGGACATTTCTAAGTGCAGTGATTCTTGGGCTGGGTATGTCTCTTGCCAGGTCCCTGGACTCTGTGCCTATGGGGTTGTTTTAAGAGATAATGGCTTCTGTAGGATATGAGGATTTAAAGACCTTATGGCTTCCTTGCCCCTTTGAACTTCTATTGTTATGACATGGACTGTAGCAAACACTCCCATTGAAAATGGATACCTGATACTGCTCTGCTGTGTTTCCTGTCCTATGTCCTTCTGAGTAGAATGGCTCTAAATGTGGCCTCTGTTAGTCTTTGAGCGTGAATATTTAGTTGACTCTAAGAAACTCCTGCATACCTCAGGGATACATTGTGGCCAAAACTGTGGTGCCAAAGCAGGGAGGTAAAGGGGAAAATACCCCAAGCTCTCTCTCCTTCTGCCTTCTAGTCTCCTGATACTTGTTCTGTAAAATTTGGATTCACTCGAAAGGCCACGCTCAAGGTTTCTGGAGGCCATATGTGGCCCAGAGGCCGCAGGTTCCCCACCCCTGGACCTAACCAGGAGACAGAGGTCAAAGAGAACAACTCTGATTGTCTCATTTTGTGCTGGGTGCTCACCATAGTTCATCATTCTCCCATTGATGGATTACTAGACTGTTTTCAGTTTTGGGTGCTATGGACAACTGTGTACAAAGCTTGAATCATTTTTTTCATTTTTTTTATTTTTTTGAGACAGAGTCTCACTCTACTGCCCCGAGTAGAGTGCCGTGGCGTCAGCCTAGCTCACAGCAACCTCACACTCCTGGGCTCAAGCGATCCTTCTGCCTCAGCCTCCTGAGTAGCTGGGATTACAGACATGCGCCACCATGCCCAGCTAATTTTTTCTATATATTTCTAGTTGTCCAGCTAATTTCTTTCTATTTTTAGTAGAGACGGGATCTCACCCTTACTCAGGCTGGTCTTGAACTCCTGAGCTCAAGCGATCCACCTGCCTTGGCCTCCCAGAGTGCTAGGATTACAGGCGTGAGCCACCACACCCGGCCCAAAGCTTGAATCATATATTTTAATTTCTCTTTGATAAATTCAGAGGAGTGGAATTTCTGGATCATAGGATAGACAAATATTTAACTTTTTAAGAAACTGCCAAATGGTTTTTCAAAGTGATTATACCATTATGTACTCCTACCAACAACACGTGGGAGTTCCCTTTGTTTCATACCTCTCCAACATTTGGTGTTAACAAACTTTTTTATCTGAGCCATTCTGGTGACTGTGTAGTGATATCTCATTGTAGTTTTAATTTGCACTTTCCTAATAAGTAATGATCTTGAGGACTTTTTAATTTGCTTGTTTGTCATTCACACAACTGCTTCTATGAAATATCTGTTTAAGTCTTTACACAATTTGATTGTTTTTTTATTAATTATTGTCTTTTATTATTTTTGTTACTGAGTTGTAGGAGTTCCTTATGTATTCTACACACAAGTCCTTTGTCAGACTTGTGTGTTAGGAACATTTTCTTTCCATCTGTGGCTTGTCTGTTTTCTTAATGGTGGCTTTGGATAAGCAAAATTTAAAAACATTAAGTATAATTTATAATTTTTTTCTTTCTGTGTCTTCTCTTTACCTGTCCCAAGATTTTTAAAAAATCATAGTTGTAGATTATTAAAATGATAACCTTTTTTCTTTTTTTAAAAATGATTTTTATTCAAAAATGAAATCCAATGTGGGCATTTTTCGGACCATGGTGTATTCTACTTCATAGCAGATATATCTTCATAAAAATTCATAAAATGCTGGATGCTTAGAGTTGCAAAGAGACCTTGATACCATTTTCTCCAAACTCCTCCCTAACATTAGCTTTCCTTCTTACTTCTTAATATTTCTGATAATATTCCTTCTTAATATTTCTGATAATAATTCAGCCTCTGGATGCTTCTAGAGATTGAAAGCTACCAGAAGTAAGGAGTGAAGCAAAATGTCAAAGAATCACTTCTTGAAATTGATGCATTCTTTGACAGTTGGCTCATTGGGGTTATATACAGTGTGAATTTTGTTGAAATTCATTGCTAGGTCAGTCAAACATTGTGATCAAAGTTCTGAGAACCAAAATTACCATGTATTGGCCGGTGCTTTCCAGCTTCAGGATTATAGTTTGCATAGAGATACAGAATAGGGTCCTTCTTGTCACTGTGTAGGCAGTGACAGTGTGGTAAGTGCAATAAAGGCACATGTGGCATGGCTGAGAGAATAATTTGTCCTTCCTGGGTATGTCAGGGAGTATTTTATAGGAGATATGTATGAGCTGGGCTCAAAATGGCTAAAGTCTCCACAAGAAGTTGGAGGGTAGAGGCATGGAGCAGTGGGAATGAACAGCAGTGAATATTGCTGAGGTTTTGAGTCTGAGACTCAAGCAGTGGGAGGTAAGACTGAAGAAATAAGCAGGGCCCAGACTATGAAGACTTTGCATCTTGTTCTGTGGCTTCTCTGCAAAGGATGGAGTGAACTGGTAGCATGGAGATCAGTTAGAAGGCTTCAGCAGTAACTTAAGTTAGTGGTTCTCAAATTCTCAAGTAGTTGTGCTTCAGGTTGTCAGTCCTTCCCTTAGCTCTTACCTTTTGAATCAGAATCTCCTGAACGGAGGTTGGACCTTTGCACTTTTGCACAGGCTCTGTAGGTGATTCTGAAGCACACCGGAGTTTGAAAACTACTGGCAAATGATGAGGAGGTCTGAACTAAGACAGTGAGAAAGAAAGAAGCACCTTGATTAGAGAGGTATTAGCAATTGGAATGGTGAGTATTTTTGGTGACCAATGGTATGTGAGAAATGAGGGAATAGGAGGATTCTGGCCTGAGCAACTTCAAAAATGTCATTCCTGCCGGTTACCTACATGGCAACACAGAGTAGATCTGTGGGAGAGAAGAGAGGAAGTTTAGTTTTGGATATGGGTCCACTTACTGTCAAGATATGCCTATTTTTATCACCTAGAAAAAAACATTAACTTTGGGAGAATATGATTCTGTCAATATGAATACTGTAGATAATAATGAAGCATTTTCATTCCATGCTTCTTATTCTTTCCAAAGAACATATTCTGCTCACGTTTGTTTGGTACTAAGATTTGTTGTGTGACTACTATGTGCTGTGAAGACTTTTAGCCTAAATCTATTATTATTATCATTTTACAGATGGTGAAACTGAAGCTCAGAGAGGTTAATTGATTTCCCTAAGGCCATCATAGTAGGGAACCAGGTAGAGCCAAGATTCAAAGCTCCTGTTGTCAAGTCCAGCTTTCTTTCCATTATTACACAGCTACCTCTAATAACATAGATGAGCAGGGTTCTTTTCTTATTATTTGTGTATGATGAACTTGAAGTCCAGAGAAAAGTCCAAGATCTCAAACTGATAAGTATCAAAGCAGGGACCAGAACCCAGGCCCTGCTTTCCTGGCCAGGGCTCTTTTCACTGTATCTTCCTACTTTCTAGATGATTGTAGAAGTTAAGTTCATTTTCCTACTTGTTCTATGTACAGTTGGACCTTTACCCCCTCAGATAGGAAGATTTTAAAGAGTTACAAATACTGTTTTGAAGGGAAGAAATATTGTTTGAGAAGCAAAGCTGACCCTCAAGGCTCAATTGCTTTGGAGTGGTATGTGAAGCTCACTTCCAGCCCATTAATGAAATTTTTTTAAAAAAATTAGGAGCCCAAACTTGATGATGAAAGAAATATGGAAATAACTCCAGGAGAAAAGGTACTTAGGAACACCAAAGAGCAACGGGATCAGCAAAATCGGCTGAGAGAGATAGATGAAAAGCTGAGAAAGATGAAGGAAAATGTGGTAAGTCTTTTTTATTTATAGTTTAATTGGAACCAACAATTGTGCCAAAAAAGGTTTCAGTCTCCTTTGACTGTTTTTTGACTGTTCTTATGTGTTAGTTAAATCAGCATGTAAATTTGTCAGTAAGAATTTGACTTAAAGGTAAAAATATGATTCATAAAACTTAAAGTAATATTATTCTTAATTTAAGTAATTTGTATAACTTAAAAAACCTTTCTTTGTGACATAAAGATAATTTATATAACATAAAAAGCATACTATCTGAAGTCAGAATAGTGATCAATAATCCTAATATTTTGTGTCTGTGTCTCACAGTGACACAAATTTTTTTTTTATGTGTGTTTCAAAGTTTGGTAGTACTTCATAAAGCCATTCTTATGTTTTGAATTTATAGCTTAAATACTCCTACTTTTTGTTTATAATTAATAATATATTATTAATCATTAAATACTTTTAATACTTTTTAAATCCTTCTTGAGCCTCGTTCATGTTTTTCTTTCTCATCATTTAATGACATCATTACTGATGAGAGAAAGCTCTTAAGTCACCTAAATTGTGAACTGGTTGATATTCTGAACCTATTAGAAATGCTTTATAATGTTATGATTTTCTAGCTACTGATAACATGTTTTTAGCTGGATGCTTGGATTTTACCTAAAATTCAACATGACAAGGCTGAGCTTGTGATTCCGCCTACCTCTCTCTTGCAGGGCTGGTCTTGCTATAATTGCCAGCAGTAACCACTTTCTGTCTCTTCCTAAATCCTGTCATCTTGGGTGATCTTCAAGCCCCATTAAGTTTTGACCAATATGGCTAATGTGCTGCCATATCCTGCCAGGGTCTCTCATGACTCTTTCAAAATATTTTTTTGTCCCCACTTTTTTCACCTTTCTCTCAGCATTGTCACCTTGTGACTAGCCACTTATAATCTGGTCTTTGTGGGATTTCTTGAATCCAGTCACTCTGTTCTCTTATTATTCCATTTTATAAGCTGCTCCATGGGTAAACATCAGATGAGTGATTTTTATTAAGATATGACCTACTCAGAGCCTCCAATAGTGTGCAACAATCTTCAGAGTCTTCACACCTCGCGATTGTGTCCAGCTGAAGTGCTCTCACCCCTTGCTGGCCAAGGACGGCAGCACTGACGCAGAGCCTAACAGAGACCTAGGGCCACCTGATGAGAGTCAGGCAGCAGATCCAAAAGGGATAAATAAATGGTGCTTGTGCTTCTCTTTGTAGGTCATTTTTGTTTGCTTTGCATGGGAGATTCCATGGGAATTACATTTCAGGGTGACCTCTATTTCTTTTTTCTGAGGGATTCCCCCTCCCCTTGACTGTGTTGATGTGGTGAAGAAGTAGAAGTAGGAATGGTAAGGAAGTATACAGGGGCCCTTGGCCAGTATTGTGGTGATGGGATAATGCATACTCGATGTGATAAAATATCTGTAGTTTGATGGTTTTGAAAACTATTGGCACTTCCTCTTACCCCACGCCTGCCAATCCAAGGCAGGCAAAGCCTATCCAACTCTGTAACTCAATCTCTGGATTTCTGACTGCTATAGTCTGGATGTTTGGGTTCCCCCAAAATTCATGTTGAAATCCTAAGCCCTAAGGTGATGGTTTTAGGATGTGGGATCTTTTGGGAGGTCATTAAGTCATGCAGGTAGAGCCTACATGAGTGGAATTAGTACCTTATAAAATAGGCCCAAGGGAACTCATTCACCCCTTTTACTACATGAGGACACAGTGAGAAGGCACCATCTATGAACCAGGAAACAGGCCCTTACCAGATACTGAATCTGCCAGCTCCTGTATCGTGGACTTCCCAGCTTCCAGAACTGTGAGAAATACATTTCTGTTATTTATAAGCCACTGAGTCTACAGTATTTTGTTATAGCATCCCAAATAGACTGAGACCCTGACCATTTATCACGTGCCTGGGACATGTATCTGTTCTTTTCTACCATGTCTCTACCATTATTTAATTTTTGGTTCAAAACCTGGGTACTATAAGAAATCTTATATGTTATTCCAGTGCCTTATGAAGTTTAGCTACACTTTAAGGGATATAAGTATCAAGAGTTGGTTGTTATTTAAGTGGAAAAGAGTTGGTTGTTATCTAAGTGGAAAAGAATAATGCGTGAGTGGAGAAGAGCAATTATTGAATACCAACTATGTGTCAGGCTCTGTTCAAAGTACTTTACAAATACAGATTATCTAGTCTTCAGAACCACCTTAGGAGGCAATTATCACAATCCTCATTTTATAGCTGAAGAAATGGAAGCAAAGAGAGATTGAATAACTTCCTCAAGGTGACACAGCTAGTAAGCAGAAGACACAGGATTCAAATCGTTAGCTTTTAGCAACTATGCCATACTGCCTTTCTGGTAATTATTATTATTTGCTTTTCTTCTCATGGTTAATATTGTTTTTTATTAATTAAAATATGATAAATTTGTTAAAACCAGTAATATTCATGAATAAAATGTTTGGGCTCCCCATATAAGTTTCAATTTCGCAATTTTGTGTTTTAAGTCAACACTTTCAGAGGCTGTTATCTGAACAAAAAAGGCACATGAGTGTTGATCTGTTATTATTTTTATGTTTTAATTGCTTAGTGTTTCATAATATTCTATGGAGTTATATTGTGTGCCATATGACTTTTTAAGGAATGATGCTGTGTTCATTTCAAACTCTGTCAAACCCGTGGTACCTCGTAGACATCTAAGTACTTTTTGGATTGGAAATCCAGAGGCCCGAGTCCTTGTTTTAGTTTTATCAATAGCCTGCTCTGTGACCTTGAATAAATAACTTAGTTTCTCAGAGACTTGGTTTCATTACAACTTTGAGATCAAGGGAGTCATGCTAGATGACCTCTGTTCTTTTGCCTGTGATTCTTCTTTTTTTTTTTATTTCAGCATATTACGAGGGTGCAAATGTTTAGGTTACATATGTTGCCCTTGCCCCCCCCAATGCCTGTGATTCTTGACATACTTATTTTTGATGAGAAGTGATGTTATTTATAACATATGGTATCTAAAGGTCAGTTTACAAGCTTCCTAAATATTTGGTATGAATTGGCTTAAATCTTCTATTGAAAGTTACTTTTGGAAGTTTAGTAACACTTTTTAGGAGAATGTGAGATTGTCTTCTATATATAAAAATGAGTCCATTGTCTACCAGCCAGAAAATATGGTTTCTGAATGATAGCTTCTGGAAATGGCTAATTTTGCAGTTTTGTCTTATTCTTCCTCCTGCAATGGAGCATCCTTTCAAGATGACTGGCTTGGGTAAAAGGTAATCTGTGGCCATTGGTGATTTAAGGATCATATCCATATTTGGTCTTAGAGATGGAAGGGAGAAGGAGTGAACTAAGGGCAATATAGGAGCCCCAGGGGTAGATATTGCTGGAGACACCTGGATCCTAGGATTTATTTGTCAGTAAAGGCTGGAAAAGTAACTTAATTCCGTGTTTCAGATAGTAGTAGGCTGAGGCTGCTGATACATGCTTTTCTTGGTCAAGATTGGTTGAGAAAGTGGGATTTGGTTTAGTCTATAGGTGTTGATAGTATTGTTGTTATCAACGGATTTAGTCATTAGGAGCTAGGGGAAGTAGACACAATGAAATGAGATTGAAGCTCAAATTTAATATGCAATTCAGCAGGCATATAGGGGCCCTGAAATGCAGCTTCATTAAGTAGAGGAAGGATGAGCCATGGCTGCTAGAAGCAGCATGTGTGGAATTGTTATTATTAATATGGAATTTACATAAGCTTGTTTCTAGGATAAGGAAGGGGAGGACATAGTATAGAGGGCAGAATTAAAGATGGAGGGGTAAGCCTTGGAGAAGAACCAAGATGCCCTTTTCCTGACTCAGGATGAAAGACAGGAAAACTGGGCCAAGAAAGGCAGGTTTAGAGATGAAGAGAAGGTGAGAATGCTTGAATGTTCTCTGCTTGCTCTGTCAATTAGAGATCAAGCCGTATGGTCAGAGTGAGAGGGTAGAGCGGAGATTGAAGAAGGATAGGAAAGGGGTGGCATAGACTCTGCGAGGATGAGAAGAAAAGCACTGGCTAACAATGAAGGTAGCCCAGCTGAGGTTGGAAACCCCATTGTGAAATGGAGCCAGTCAGCAAGGCTGGGAGGCTTCTCTGACAGTCCTCAGCAGTTGACTAAAGCTGGAGATAAGGAGTAGTGAGTTGAGGCAGGGGTGAGGAGAGGTTGGGCGTTTGCAATGGTAGATGAAGGGGGCAAGGGAACTGGTGGTAGGTACCTATGAGACCATAACTGGAAAAAAATGTGTGTACCCCAGATATCAGCTGGGACCCCTTGGCCACTCTTTGACCCGATTTCATAACTTATTGTACATACACAGAATAGAATACCATATGGCTATCAAAAGAAAAGATGTCTATGATAGAGTATTAAAGAAAAAGAGCCTGTTGCAGAAGAAAATGATTAATGTGATTCCATTTTTATAAAAAGAATCACAGAAAATCCTGGAACAATACCAGATGCTGTGATTACTTTTAGTGCGGACGGGGATGAATGGGGAGGTGAAGAAAGGAGATTCACTTTTTATAACACACACTACTTAAAGGGAAAATGTGTTAGGATTATGGGTGATTTTTATATTATTTCTTATGCTTTTTTCCATATCTCAGACTTTCTATAATATACATGTGTTGTATTTGTAAACAGAAAAAAATTAATATTTAAAAATGTGGAAAGCATTGATGTGTACAAAAGATCTTATTGTCTCTCAATAAGTGGTCTTTGTACATTTAGTAAAACAGAGTGAGTCATCACAAGGAATAATGTTCAGCCTTGCCAGCAATTGAAATTCATATTTAAACAGGCACTATATACACTGTCAGACCAGTGGAAATAATGACAAATGTGATATAATTGCGGGTTAGTCAGGGGTGGGGGATTGGAGGTGGGAACAGCAGTATTTTTGAACATTGTTGGTAGCTTTTAAAGTTGGTTATTTTTTT